GTTATTCCGAGGTGAACGACTGGACATAAATCTACATGTACAGTTAGACAGTACTTCGTCACGGTTCAACATTGCTCGTATAGGTCTCTCTAGAACGCCACATTTTGTTCTAAATGCACGAAAATTGGAATTTTTAACTGCACTATCACGTGACACTCAGTTTCAGAAGCAAGCTATGATGTACAATCACGTGACACTCAGTTTCAGAAGCAAGCTATGATGTACAATCACGTGACACTCGGTTTCAGAAGCAAGCTATGATGTACAATCATGTGACACTCAGTTTCAGAAGCAAGCTATGATGTACAATCACGTGACACCCAGTTTCAGAAGCAAGCTATGATGTACAATCATGTGACACTCAGTTTCAGAAGCAAGCTATGATGTACAATCATGTGACACTCTAGTTCAGAAGCAAGCTATGATGTACATCACGTGACACTCTAGTTCAGAAGCAAGCTATGATGTATAATACACGTGACACTCAGTTTCAGAAGCAAGCTATGATGTATAATCACGTGACACTCAGTTTCAGAAGCAAGCTATGATGTACAATCACGTGACACTCAGTTTCAGAAGCATGCTATGATGTACAATCACGTGACACTCAGTTCAGAAGAAAGCTATGATGTTTACCAGGCTGACATAGTGCCCCTCCCATGTGAAATATGTGAAAGTTCATTGTTCAATAGTGACTCACATAAGGGAACCAACAGGTAACGTGTTCATCAGTTTAAAAATTCACGTAAGATAGTTTTGTCACGTTCAAATAAGCTTCTGAAAATCACGCAAAAGTTCAGCCGCTAGATCGTTGAGTTTCAGTGCATGATGCATTGTATAGCTTTTCAAATCTAGGATTTAGCGAATAGCGTAGAGAGGTTTATTTTGTTCGGTGTGATAATTGCAAAGAGTCCCTCTGAATCTATCGTAGTGTGTTGTTGGAGGCTACGTTTCTGGTTCCGGTCGATTCTTGTTCGCGGTAACCTGACGGCATTCTTACATTGAGACGTTTTGAACCGTTGAATAACAAACACTGCTGTTCTCTGCCGAGAGTAAGACTGAGCATTGGAATCATTTTCAGGCTTCATAAGCCACGTTAAATCATGATGGACTTTTAGACTGATATTGGTCCCTGTAGCGAATAGTTATTGACCCAAATGCACAAAAATAGACATTGTATGCTTCACAAAAAGGCAAGCGATTGTGTTTGTTCATAGCCGCTCCCATGTCAGAGTTGACACTTTGACATCATTCAGTAGTATGGCTCACAATAAGATTAAGTGAAAGAACGAGTTACAGTTCATCATTTACATACATAAGTGACTCCGTGGCGGATCAGCTCTGAGATATCTCTGAGATTGCTCTCCGATTTGTGCTTCACAGAAGTTGTAGCCTGGGAGCCATCCCCAGTTGTATTCGCCCGCTAGCTTAACTGGTAACTAGCGACATTAATCATTATAGAGCGGGCGAATACTAAAAGGGGTGGCACCCAGGCTAATGAACATGTTCACTGTACACATTCTAAATCTCAGAGGAAGATTTATCAAGCTACGTTGCTATACACTGTGTATATATCACCCACAGTGCTTGACATGAAATGTCTAGAAATCCATCATGCTATCATGGCTGCTAGCTCTGAAACGACTAGAACAGTTTTAGTGACAGACTCGCCGAATGCTTCTGGGTTTCCGCTTTACGCTCAACTGAGTTACTAAAATCTTGATCCGTGGTTTATGGTTGGATGGAACAACAAATACACATAACGTTACGTGTCAAAGTGGGAGCAATTGGTGGGGTAAGTAATATAATGAACGTGGACAGATTATCAATCAAAGTCAGTGCAGTATTCAGGTGAACAACACAAACCTACAATAAGGCCTTACTTATCACGGTTCAACATTGCTGATCGCTTAGGTCCCTCTAGAACGCCACAGTCTTGTTCTGAATGCACGAAAATTAGAATTTTCAACTTTACAATCACTTGACACTCAGTTTAATAAGCAAGCTATGATGTTTACCAGGCTGACATGGTGCCCCTCCCATGTCAAATATGTAAAGGTTCATAATCTATCTAAGTGAACCAACAGGTTATACATGATTGTATGCAGAAGTAAAAGGTCTCGATCCCACGTCAGTCTAGATCTAGACGTGTCCATTAATTTTAAAATTCACGTAGGATAGTTTTGTCACGTTCAAATAAGCTTCTAAAAATCACGCAAAAGTTCAGCCGCTAGGTCGTTAAGTTTCAGTGCATGATGCATTGTATAGCTTCAGATCTAGTATTTAGCGAAGAGCGTAGAGAGGTTTATTTTGTTCGGTGTGATAATTGTAAAGAGTCCCTCTGAATCCATCGTAGTGCGCTGTTGGAACACCCCCTTACATGCCTTAGGCAGCTCGGGAGCGGTGTTACGCCACTCTCCTTGCAGAGGCCCTGGCGGAGAAAATAATGGCTACCTCGCTTTAACGTTACACATAATCAGCGATTTGAATGTAATGATTCGTAATGGGCACCGACAATTTAGGTAATTCTTGATCATCCCTCTTGCAGGGCCCCACATATGTATGTTTGAAGGTGGCTTCTGTGCACGATAACTCAAGAAGTTTTGGATGCATATGGCTTGTCGTGAAATTTGGTATGTGGTTAGGGTTTGAACTATCAAGGAAATGATTGGCAGATTCTCAGGAATTTTCGTTTGTCGGTTTAAATCATGATTGACACAATGAATTGCTAATTATGCAAATCATGATCTCCTTTTTAATTGCTAATTATGCAAATCATGATCTACTTTTCCTCATCAAAATTATGAAATTCTATAATTTAGCTGTGTTCCATGATATGACATTCAAACACATAACATATGTAATTAAAACAGAGAGGAAAATCAATGCATATCAAATATGCGTGAGTTACTAAAGTAAGTAATGGTGAATATCACTGGATATAAGTCACACGTCCGCCTCATGTACATGAGAAAATGGTACAGCAGCCTTCTTTTTGAAGATATGATAATTTGACATTTGAGTATAGAATATAATCAGCTGATATGATTTACGTAAAAGGGGACCGTGTTTGAATAATCAAGAAAAGAATAGTACGCCCTTCAAAGGTCAAAATAAATTGACGAAGGTATGATGTGGAACTCGGGCTTCATAATTTGCTATCTTAATATAATGCATATGTATGTACACTTTACACACTTTTAGTTGCAAACGTGTTTATTGTGTCTTCCTACAGGCCTGATAATACAGTCCCGCATTGATCTGCCATGTATGGTGGCTACTACGACGAATTTGGCTACCATGACCCTGACGCGTTTACTCATGACCGCGACCGTTACCATGACTATGGCAGGAAGAAATATGAACAAATCATGGCCGACGCGCGTTTTGATGCCGCCAACTGGTTCAGAAGGAGGGACAGAGAATCAGAAGACGGATACCGTAGTTTCGAAAACTACGGCCAAGGAAGCGAGCTTCTCGCTGAACTTGTCAGCCAGCGGAAGAGTGGGGAACTGCTTGATATAGTGGTGGAAGTCGAGGGTAGGGAGTTCCCCTGTCACCGGGCTGTGTTAGCATCCACGCCGTACTTCAAGACCATGCTGTCCTCAAACTTCGCTGAAAGTAGTTCAAGGGCCATAAAACTGCACGAGGTTGACCCCACCAGCTTCTGTAAGATCCTGGACTTCCTGTACACCGGGAAAATCCGCATCGGTAAAGACGACGTCCAGAACATTCTGCAGACGGCTCATATGCTACAGTTGGACAAAATTGTGCAGTACTGCCGCGAGTTCATCCAAGACAACCTCTGCCTTTCCAACTGTCTGGGCGTCATGCGCCTGGCCGACCTTTATGGTCTTTCTGCCTTGAAGACGAAAGCATGGGACATGGCAGTGTCAAACTTCTTAGACGTCACACAGGAAGAGGAGTTCCTTAGCCTTTCCGCGCAACAGCTTGCAGATCTACTCGGAGACGAACATCTTAAAGTTACGAACGAAGATGACGTTGTCAATCCCGTGATAAGATGGCTCGACAATGCCCCTGGGACCCATCAAACAACAATACTAAAGATTATACAAGAGATCCGTTTGTCTTGCGTGAGGGTCAGTGTGCTACAGAGGCTGGAGTCACACCCTGTGATACAGGCGTCAACAGAATGCCTGGCAAAAATCACAGCAGTCAGAGAGAAACACCTCCTTGCCACACAGGTAGAAGATACAACTGGCCCTAGACGTGAAATACCAGACAACCTGGCAATCATTGTCGGCGGTTGGAATGCAAACAGGAGATCTGGATTCACATTTAAAGGCGATCCCCCCATCATGTATAATGCACAGTGGCCAACGCCCATGGAAAGCATAATTTGCCTAGACCCGGACAGTGAGCAATACTACGACATCACTACCCTCCCAACGTATCCTGTTTCAGGGGACATGAGCGTGGCAAGTGCAGGAAGACACCTGTACGTGACAGGTGGGCGGGTCTATCCTCCACTCGGCCAGGGTCCTCATTTTGCTCCATCCAGGCAAGCCTTTCGGTACGATTTCCCTTCGGACACTTGGCTTAGGCTGCCTGACATGCCTCGCGGCTGTGCAGGGCATCAGTCAGTAGTCGTTGACGGGAAACTCTTCGTGGTCAACGCAACGAGTTCTAGTGCGGTGACCATGGGTTGCTATGATCCTGAAAAGGGGACTTGGATACATTCCATACATGTGCGCCCGCCATTGCACCCTTCATCAAAGTTGGCGGTAACAGCCTGCGGGAACAAGGTTGTATTCATCGTGGCAGAGATCACGGATGTCGATGACCGCTCCAACGACATACAGAAAAGGGCAGATATCCAGCAAAGCAAGCTTAAGAGTCAAGGAAAACTGTGTTGCCATGCGTTTGATGTGAAAACCAAAGATTGGAAGTACACCGACATCGAGACTGGTGCCGGTAGCCTATCCATATATAAGGACGTGGATATTCTTACGACTGCCGTCAATAACAAGCTTAATATCCGTACTGGATATGCCCAGTATTCAGACCTTTACATCTACGATGTCGAAGAGAACACCCTAGCGAAGGGTGATGGAGGAGATTGGAAAGACGTCGTTCTTCGCCCGCAATGTGTGCGCGAGTACAGGCACAGCCGATTGAGACAAGACGTCGAGGGCATCGTGAATACCATTAGCTACTACAACTTTGGAGACCTCTCCATCCCTACAAAGCAGACGCCCCTTCCCTTTGCCTTATTTGGCCACACCTTCCTCCAGACCAAGAAGAGCCGCCTCGGGTGGTACTGCCGGGACCTCGTAGAACTGGGGAAAGACGGCAAACGAGAGTCGGGGTCACTCAGCGAACCTACTGGAGCTACGAGCTCTGAGTGACTCGAGTTAATTCACGTTTCACGTTAATGGTGTGAGACAGGAAGAAGCCAAACACTTAATAACGTTAAATAACATCATTTCAAGAATGAAGGACTGCCAGAAAACCTGGTTGATCAGATAATGTGATCACCTTTCACCCCAAGATCTGCTTGGAGATTAGATGGACATGAACTACTAGTATTTTGTGCCATAAAAAATGAGCTCTACATGTACTGCACCAGATCACCGTACTGTGGCAAGGCTATTCTTGTGATTCATGTGCTTCCAAACAGCTGTGAACATTTTGAATTTATGCTTGCTAAGAAATGGTAAAGGCCAAATGATTACTGCTGATATACTGTGATAAACATTATCAACAGGATCTGCTCCAACATGTAACTGATCATAAAAGACATAAGTTGTATGATTTTTCTTAGCCTAGATTAATTTTTTCATTAATGCAAGTACCTTATTAAGTATATATGCTCACACAAACAGAACCTAAGTTTGATCACTTGGTGTCCTCTCAGCTGAGCAGTAACCACCATTGTGATAATTGTAACCACCCCTTTGTTTGTAAATTATTGCTTATTTTCGTATGTTTAAAGATCTAACAGGATTTTTTCTTTGCTAACGATCATTTGTTCAAGGGCCAATGAACAGCAAAATAAATCAATAGACGAAATGCTGATGTCGTCAGTGTGTGTATATTGTCTGGAATCAAGGCGTAAATGACATATTGGTACAAGTACCTTCGAATTCAAAGCATATTGAAGAGGGTATAAAGGGTCCTTGCTGTCAGTTTTTGAGCTCTGTATTGTGCCACGGTAAAAGATCTAATGCAAGTTTAAATTTGTGCTAATACAAACTTGTAGGGCTTGCAGTAGCTTGACGAAATAGCGCTCCTAGCGGCCGACCCGCCTGACAGGGAGAGTTTTCATTAAGCCCAGCCAGTGAAAGATTGAGTAAACACAGGCTAGGACTGAATAGCCCGGGAGACATCCGTTTTTAGTACCCGTTTTTTCGGGGTAGCGAGTACATAGTGCAAGTCACCATACAAAACGGGTGGCACCCAGGCCGCGAAGGGCTGCAAATGTAGCAAAATACTTGGTAGACAATGTGATAAAAAGTGTGCATAAAATACACAGTGTGTGAACCTGCAGGAATTCAAGTTTGGTTAAGTTTATCATCTGCTATGTATGAATGCATGTCTCATTGTTGACTTGTGCAAACCAATACTTAAATTTGCCAAGTCGTCTATTTGTAGTCCTTATAATGATTAACGTTATCATAACAGTCTCAATTGCGGCATACATATAGAATACTACAGCCCGACCGCGAGTCGAATCGCCTGAGGGCCGGAGGGAGATCCGATCCGCGGGAGGGCTGGGACCGAGGGTGATGCGGAATACACCGTGTGGTATTTTATTTATGTCATACCTACCCGAGAAAACAGACATTTCAATGCGAAATGTGCCAAAATTTGGTGTATCTAAACAGAAAAGTGTAACGGCGTCAATTCCAACATCCGAATTCGGTGTTCCAAGTTTCGAAAGCGGCACACTCGGTGCACGCGAAACGCACTATGGAACATTTGGAATCCCGGGCCGTACGCGTAAAGAACCCCGGGCCGTACGAGTGGTTATGACACGGGCCGGAACACCTTTATCGAATCGCGGCCCAGGTATGACATAAAGGGGTCAACGTGCTACCGGCTCTTTCTTTTTAAAAGCAATTTGTTACCTTCGGAGGACATATAAACTGAAAAATAGCAAAAACATAATACACATGCTATCATAAACTGGGATTACTTTTGAAAGAGGTAAAAATGTCGGCATAAAAGAGTACCCATAAGCCCGCGCGCTCCGAAACTGGTATGCGGAAGTTGTCAAGTTGGAGGCTACATTTTCTGGTTTCGGTCGATTCTTGTTCGAGGTAACCTGACAGCATTCTGTGCATTGAGACGTCTTGAACCGTCGAATAGCAAACACTGCTGTTCTCTGACGAAAGCAGGACTGAGCATTTACATACATAAGTGACTCCGTGGCGGATCGGCGGATCAGCGCTGAGATATCTCTGAGATTGCTCTCCGATTCAGTGTGCTTCACAGGTAAGAACATGTTCACTGTACACATTCTACATCTCAGGGGAAGGTTTATCAAGCTACGTAGCTACACTTTATCACTCATAGTGCATGACATGAAATGTCTATGGCTGCCAACTCTGTTTGAAACTACCAGAACAGTTAAGTAATAGGCCAAATGCTTCTGGGTCTCAACTACAACGCTTTACGCTCAACTGAGTTACTGAAATCTTGTTGAGAAAGTGGTTTATATTTGGATGGAAACAAATACACATAACGTTAGGTGTCAAAGTGGGAGCAATTGGTGTACGTACGTAAGTACATGTAATGGACGTGGACAGATTATCAATCACAACCAGTGCATTATTTATGTTATTCCGAGGTGAACGACTGGACATAAATCTACATGTACAGTTAGACAGTACTTCTCACGGTTCAACATTGCTCGTATAGGTCTCTCTAGAACGCCACATTTTGTTCTAAATGCACGAAAATTGGAATTTTTAACTGCACTATCACGTGACACTCAGTTTCGGAAGCATGCTATGATGTACAATCACGTGACACTCAGTTTCATAAGCAAGCTATGATGTACAATCACGTGACACTCAGTTTCAGAAGCAAGCTATGATGTACAATCACGTGACACTCAGTTTCAGAAGCAAGCTATGATGTACAATCACGTGACACTCAGTTTCAGAAGCAAGCTATGATGTACAATCACGTGACACTCAGTTTCAGAAGCAAGCTATGATGTACAATCACGTGACACTCAGTTTCAGGAGCAAGCTATGATGTATAATCACGTGACACTCAGTTTCAGAAGCAAGCTATGATGTCCACCAGGCCCAAGCTATGTTGCCCCTCCCATGTCAGAGATGTGAAAGTTCATAGTTCAATAGTGACTCACATAAGTGGACCAACAAATTTTTAAGAATTTGTTGGTTTAAAAATTCAGGTAAGATATTTTTTCAGATAAAAAGTCAGATAAGGTAATTTGTAAAAAAATTCAGATAAGGTAATTTGTTGGTTTAAAAATTCAGGTAAGATATTTTTCTCACGTTCAAATAAGCTTCTAAAAATCACGCAAAAGTTCAGCCGCTAGGTCGTTAAGTTTCAGTGCATGATGCATTGTATAGCTTTTCAAATCTAGGATTTAGCGAAGAGCGTAGAGAGGTTTATTTTGTTCGGTGTGATAATTGTAAAGAGTCCCTCTGAATCTATCGTAGTGCGCTGTTGGAGGCTACGTTTCTTGGTCCCGGTCGATTCTTGTTCGCGGTAACCTGACGGCATTCTTACATTGAGACGTTTTGAACCGTTGAATAACAAACACTGTTGTTCTCTGTGCCGAGAGTAGGACTAAGCATTGGAATCATTTTCAGGCTTCATAACTTAAGCCACGTTAAATCATGATGGACTTTTAGACTGATATTGGTCCCCGTACCGATAGTTATTGACCCAAATGCACAAAAATAGACACTGTATGCTTCTCAATAATGGCAAACTATTGTGTTTTTTTATAGCCACTCCCATGTCAGAGTTGCTTTGGGACTTTGAAATTTCAGTAGTATGGCTCACGATAAGCTAAAGTGGAAAAACGAGTTACAGTTCATTTACATACATAAGTGATTCCGTAGCGGATCAGCGCTCAGATATCTCTGAGATTGCTCTCCGATTTGTGCTTCACAGAAGTTGTAGCCTAGGTGCCATCCCCAGTAGTATTCGCCCGCTAGCTTTTATAAAGGGGGTGGCACTCAGGCTGAAGAACATGTTCACTGTACACATTCTAGATTTCAGAGGAAGGTTTATTAGTCTACGTTGCTACACTGTATCACTCTCAGTGCTTGACATGAAATGTCTAGAAACCCATCATGCTATCATGGCTGCTAGCTCTGTTTGAAACGACTAGAACAGTTTTAATGACAGGCTTGCCGAATGCTTCTGGGTTTCCGCTTTACGCTCAACTGAGTTACTAACATCTTGATCCGTGGTTTATGGTTGGATGGAACAACAAATATACATAACGTTACGTGTCAAAGTGGGAGCAATTGGTGGGGTATAAGTACATATAATGGACGTGGACAGATTATCAATCAAAGTCAGTGCAGTATGTTTATTCAGGTGAACAACACAAACCTGCAATAAGGCCTTACTTATCACCGTTTAACATAGCTGATCGCTTAGGTCTCTCTAGAACGCCACAGTCTTGTTCTGAATGCACGAAAATTGGAATTTCAACTGCACTATCAAGTGACACTCAGTTTCATAAACAAGCTATGATGTTTACCAGGCTGTCGTGGTGCCCCTCCCATGTCAAATATGTAAAAGTTCATAATTCACCTAAGTGAACCAACAGGTTAGACATGATTGTATGCATTGTATGCAGAAGTAATAGGTCTCGATCCCACGTCAGTCTAGATCTAGATGTGTTCATTATTTTAAAAATTCACGTAGGATAGTTTTGTCACGTTCAAATAAGCTTCTAAAAATCACGCAAAAGTTCAGCCGCTAGGTCGTTAAGTTTCAGTGCATGATGCATTGTATAGCTTCAGATCTAGGGTTTAGCGAAGAACGTAGAGAGGTTTATTTTGTTCGGTGTGATAATTGTAGAGTTCCTCGATCTGAATCTATCGTAGTGCGTTGTTAGGACACCCCCTTCGGCAGCTCGGGAGTAGCGTTACGCCACTCACCTTGCAGAGGCCCTGGCGGAGAAAATAATGGCTACCTCGCTTTAACGTTACACATAATCAGCGATTTGAATGTAATGATTCGTAATGGGCACCTGTAATTTTGGTAATTCTTGATCAACCCTCATGCAGGGCCCCACATGTGTGTTTGAAAGTGGCTTCTGTGCACGATAACTCAAGAAGTTTTGGATGCATATGGCTTGTCGTGAAATTTGGTATGTGGTTAGGGCTTGAACTATCAAGGAAATGATTGGCAGATTCTCAGGAATTTTCGTTTGTAGGTTTAAATCATGATTGACACAATGAATGGCTAATTATGCAAATCATGATCTCCTTTTCAATTGCTAATTATGCAAATCATGATCTATTTTTCCTCATCAAAATGATGAAATTCTATAATTTAGCTGTGTTTCATGATATGACATACAAACACATAACATGACGTGTAACTAAAACAGAGGAATATCAATGCATATCAAATATGCGTGAGTTAAGTAATGGTGAATATCACTAGACATAAATCACACGCCCGCCTCATGTACATGAGAAAATGGTACAGCAACCTTCTTTGTGAAGATATGATAATTTGACATTCGAGTATAGAATATAATCAGCTGATATGATTTACGTAAAAGGGGACCTTATTTGAATAATCAAGAAAAGAATAGTACGCCCTTCAAAGGTCAAAATAAATTGACGAAGGTATGATGTGGAACTCGGGCTTCATAATTTGCTATCTTAATATAATGCATATGTATGTACACTTTACACACTTTTAGTTGCAAACGTGTTTATTGTGTCTTCCTACAGGCCTGATAATACAGTCCCGCATTGATCTGCCATGTATGGTGGCTACTACGACGAATTTGGCTACCATGACCCTGACGCGTTTACCCATGACCGCGACCGTTACCATGACTATGGCAGGAAGAAATATGAACAAATCATGGCCGACGCGCGTTTTGATGCCGCCAACTGGTTCAGAAGGAGGGACAGAGAATCAGAAGACGGATACCGTAGTTTCGAAAACTACGGTCAAGGAAGCGAGCTTCTCGCTGAACTTGTCAGCCAGCGGAAGAGTGGGGAACTGCTTGATATAGTGGTGGAAGTCGAGGGTAGGGAGTTCCCCTGTCACCGGGCTGTGTTAGCATCCACGCCGTACTTCAAGACCATGCTGTCCTCAAACTTCGCTGAAAGTAGTTCAAGGGCCATAAAGCTGCACGAGGTTGACCCCACCAGCTTCTGTAAGATCCTGGACTTTTTGTATACCGGGAAAATCCGCATCGGTAAAGACGACGCCCAGGACATTCTGCAGGCAGCACGCATGCTACAGTTGGACAAGATTGTACATTACTGTACGTTGTACGTTGGAGGTCGCAGTGACTCTGACAATGACTATTACGATGACGACTTTTACTTTGACAGTGACCATAACCCTGACAATTACCATGACCGCGACCGTGGCCATGAACATGAATCCGCCAACTGGTTCAGAAGGAGGGACAGACAATCAGAAGACGGATCCCGTAGCTTCAAAAACCGCGCCCAAGGACGCGAGCTTCTTTCTGAACTTGTCAGCCAGCGGAAGAGCGGGGAATTGCTTGATATAGTGGTGGATGTCGAGGGTAGGGAGCTCCCCTGTCACCGGGCTGTGTTGGCATCCACGCCGTACTTCAAGACCATGCTGTCGTCAGACTTCGCTGAAAGTAGTTCAAGGGACATAAAACTGCACGAGGTTGACTTCACCAGCTTCTGTAAGATCCTGGACTTCCTGTACACCGGGAAAATCCGCATCGGTAAAGACGACGTCCAGAACATTCTGCAGACGGCTCATATGCTACAGTTGGACAAAATTGTGCAGTACTGCCGCGAGTTCATCCAAGACAACCTCTGCCTTTCCAACTGTCTGGGCGTCATGCGCCTGGCCGACCTTTATGGTCTTTCTGCCTTGAAGACGAAAGCATGGGACATGGCAGTGTCAAACTTCTTAGACGTCACACAGGAAGAGGAGTTCCTTAGCCTTTCCGCGCAACAGCTTGCAGATCTACTCGGAGACGAACATCTTAAAGTTACGAACGAAGATGACGTTGTCAATCCCGTGATAAGATGGCTCGACAATGCCCCTGGGACCCATCAAACAACAATACTAAAGATTATACAAGAGATCCGTTTGTCTTGCGTGAGGGTCAGTGTGCTACAGAGGCTGGAGTCACACCCTGTGATACAGGCGTCAACAGAATGCCTGGCAAAAATCACAGCAGTCAGAGAGAAACACCTCCTTGCCACACAGGTAGAAGATACAACTGGCCCTAGACGTGAAATACCAGACAACCTGGCAATCATTGTCGGCGGTTGGAATGCAAACAGGAGATCTGGATTCACATTTAAAGGCGATCCCCCCATCATGTATAATGCACAGTGGCCAACGCCCATGGAAAGCATAATTTGCCTAGACCCGGACAGTGAGCAATACTACGACATCACTACCCTCCCAACGTATCCTGTTTCAGGGGACATGAGCGTGGCAAGTGCAGGAAGACACCTGTACGTGACAGGTGGGCGGGTCTATCCTCCACTCGGCCAGGGTCCTCATTTTGCTCCATCCAGGCAAGCCTTTCGGTACGATTTCCCTTCGGACACTTGGCTTAGGCTGCCTGACATGCCTCGCGGCTGTGCAGGGCATCAGTCAGTAGTCGTTGACGGGAAACTCTTCGTGGTCAACGCAACGAGTTCTAGTGCGGTGACCATGGGTTGCTATGATCCTGAAAAGGGGACTTGGATAGATTCCATACATGTGCGCCCGCCATTGCACCCTTCATCAAAGTTGGCGGTAACAGCCTGCGGGAACAAGGTTGTATTCATCGTGCCAGAGATCACGGATGTCGATGACCGCTCCAACGACATACAGAAAAGGGCAGATGTCCAGCAAAGCAAGCTTAAGAGTCAAGGAAAACTGTGTTGCCATGCGTTTGATGTGAAAACCAAAGATTGGAAGTACACCGACATCGAGACTGGTGCCGGTAGCCTATCCATATATAAGGACGTGGATATTCTTACGACTGCCGTCAATAACAAGCTTAATATCCGTACTGGATATACCCAGTATTCAGACCTTTACATCTACGATGTCGAAGAGAACACCCTAGCGAAGGGTGATGGAGGAGATTGGAAAGAGGACGTTCTTCGCCCGCAATGTATGCGCGAGTACAGGCACAGCCGATTGAGACAAGACGTCGAGGGCATCGTGAATACCATTAGCTACTACAAGTTTGGAGACAACCACAGCAGAAGGCAGACGATTGGAGGCCACAACATCCCGACGAGGCAGACGCTTGGAAGCCACCACATCCCCACAAGGCAGACGTTTGGAGGCCACCACATCCCCACAAGGCAGACGTTTGGAGACCGCTCCATCCCTACCAAGCAAACGCCCCTTCCCTTTGCCTTATTCGGCCACAGTTTCCTCCAGACCAAGAAGAGCCGCCTCGGGTGGTACTGCCGGGACCTTGTAGCACCGAAGAAAGACGGCAAACGAGAGCCGGGATCACTCAGTGAGCCTACTGGAGCTACGAGCTCTAAGTGACTCGAGTTGGCCCCAAATTCACGTTAAGTGTGTGAGACAGGCAGAAGCCAAACAATCAATAACATCATTTCAAGAATGAAGGACTGCCAGAAAACCTGGTTGATCAGATAATGTGATCACCACCCCAAGATCTAATCGGAGATTAGGTGGACATGAACTACTAGCATTTTGTGAAAAAAAAGGGCTCTACATCACCAGATCATGGTACTATGGCAAGGCTATTCTAGTGTTTCGTGTGCTTACAAACAGCTCTGGACATGTTGGATTTATGCTAAGAATGGTAAAGGCCAAATGATTACTGCATGCTGGTATATTATGATTAACATTGTCAATAGGATCTGTTCTAAGATATTGTCCCCAACATGTAACTGATCATAAAAGACATAAGTTGTATTTTATCAAATCCTAGATTGTTTTTCATTATTGCAATTTGCAAGTACCTTATTAAGTATATATGGTCACATAACCTGAACCTAAGTTGGACCACTTGGTGTCCTCTAAGCTGAGCAGTAACCACCATTATGATTAATCACCACTTTGTAAATCATTGCTTATATATTTTCGGATGTTAGAGATCTAACAGGATTTTTTTCTTTGCTAATAATCATTTGTTCGAAGTTCATAATATAAACAGAAAAATAAATCAATAGATGGTATGCTGATGTGTGTCGTCAGTGTGTATATATTGTCTGGAATCAAGGCGTAAATGCTATAATGGTACAAGTAACTTCAAAGCAAAAATTGGGGTATATTGAAGAGGGTATAGGGTTCTTGCTGTCAGTTTGTGAGCTCTGAATTGTGCCAAGGTGAACGATCTACTGCAAATTTGTGCCAATTCAAAGTCTTAACTTTTAGTTTTAGGGCTTGCAATAGCCTGACTAAATAGCGCCCCTAGCGGCCGACCCGCCTGACAGGGAGGGCCGGGGGTTTCATAGCCTGGTGTCCAGCCTTGTTAGCTTCAGTCCGCTCCCCAAGATCTTCAGGAGAGGACTAAAGCTAACAAGGCTGGACATCAGGCTAGGGGTTTCATCCATTAACCCCAGTTAGTGAGAGATTGATCACGAGCTAGAGTAAACACAGGCAGGGGTGCACAGCCTGGGAGCCATCCCATGTTGTACCCGTGTGCAAGGAGCCCCGTTACAAAACGGGTTGCACCCAGGCTGATTAAGGGCTGCAATTATGGAAAAAAATACTTACTAGAAGATTGAATCTAACGTGAGTGTATGAACCTGCAGCAATTCAAGTTTAGTCAAGTGTATCATCATGTATGAGTGTCTCCTTGTTGACTTGTGCAAACCAGCTCTACATTTGAATGCGCCAAGTACGATGGTTTATTTGTACTCCTTATAATGATTAACGTTATCATAACAATCTCCATTGCGGCACACAAGGGTCAACGTACTACCGGCTCTTTCTTTTTGAAAGCAATTTGTTACCTTGGGAGGGCATATAAACTGAATAATAGCCAAAACAAAGTACACCTGCTACTACAAACTGGGCTTGCTTTAGAAAGGAGAAAAATTGTGGCATATAAGAGTATCCATCAGCCCACGCGCTCCGAAACTGTTATGCAGAAGTTGTAACGTTAAAAGGAACATTTCCTGGTCTCCATTCAGTCCTTGCATATTGTCCGAGCTATATGTGTCTTGATAGCATTCCATGCAATTAGACGTGTATGAAGTGAAGAACCGTCGAATAACAAACACTACTGTTCTCTGTGGAAAGTAGGGCTGAGCATTGCAATTTGCAGGTTGGTGGACTAGCTTCATAAGCCATGTTAATCATGATGTACTTCGATATGCATGTATTGCACATGCATACGTACTGATTTGCGTTGTATAATTGTGTCTATAGTCATGTTAAAACTGATATATAACATTTTAGATGTATATGCAACTGGTTTTAGTGTGTATACAAATAATGGCCACCAAGAGAGCTTGAGATGGGAAAACGGCCTTATACGGCTGAAAAAAGTTCCACCAGGTTGGTAGAACATAGGATATTGGAATTTTCTTTTTCATAGCTAGTAATGTTTCTCATCTTACGGTTCGTCTATCAGACACCTTCGCCAGAGCTTATGACTGGAGTACTACAACTCGCCTCTGTGAAGCCAGATGTTTAGAGATCTACCTGGATTTTTTTCTATGCTAATGATTAATTGTTCAAAGATCAAAGAACAGAAAAAAATAGATCAATAACGAAATGCTGATGCTGTCAATACCGCATGTAGTAGCCTGACTAAGTAGCGCTCCTAGCGGCCGGCCCGCCTGACAATATTCGGGGACTGAGTAAACACTAGGGCTGCACAGACATCCGTTTTTTTTCGAAGTAGCGAGCTCGAGTTAGCCTGGGTGCCAAACCAATAGCACACTGGACACAAAAGTACTGAGATACGTTGTGTCCAGTGTGCTATGGGTTTGGCACCAAAGCTAAGCTCGAGTGCGAGAAGCCCCGTTACAAAAAGGGTGATCCTCAGGCTAAGGACTGCAAATGTGGGGGAATACTTACTAGAAGATGTGATCAAACTTATGCATAAATTCACAGACTGTATGAACCTGCAGGATCATTTAGTTTGGTTTAGTGTACCTGCTTCTCCTGTGTATGAATGTCGACTTGTACAAACCAGCTCTATATTTAAGTGCGCCAAGTCGTCTGTTTGTATTCCTTATAATGATTAACCTTATCATAACAATCTGCATACAAGGGTCTACGTGCTACCGGCTCTTTCTCTTTGGAATCCTATTTTCCCTTGGGAGGGCATACAAACTGAAAAATAGCAAAAACAAAGTACACATGCTATCATAAACTGGGCTTGCTTTTGAAAGAAGTAAAAAAAAAATGTAGGCATAAAAGAGTACCCATAAGCCCGCGCGCTCCGAAACTGTTATGCGGAAGTTGTAACGCTAAAAGGAACATTTCCTGGTCTCGGTCGGTTCTTGTCCGAGCTATATGTATCTTGAAAGCATTCCATGCATTTAGACGTGTATGAAGTGAAGAATTGTCAAACACCAAAAACACTGCTGTTCTCTGTCGAAAGCAGGGCTGAACATTGGAATCATTTGCAGGTTGGTGGGCTAGCTAGCTTCATAAGGCTTGATGATGGACTTTGATATTTTTACATGCATACGTACTGACTTCCGTCATAAAATTGTGTCTCTCTGTAGCTATGTTAAAACTTCCCTGCGTTTATTTCTGTCCAGCAGATTTCATAGAATTCTGAGTAAACCAACGTCATGTTCTGGGATTATGATTTTGATGCCTCGAGTGAAGACGACGACTATGATGAAATATACCGGGTTAGTACTATGACTTTGACTGATTCTGCACCTGATAACTCGTACCACGGCAGTGCAAGGGTGTTAACCCCTACAATGGCCCGAAGAAGGAGAGACATGTACAGAGAATCAGATGACGGCCCCCTTGTCGACGTCTATGGATACGACTATGATGAATTGGACCAGATTAGTACTATGACCTTGACTGATTCTGCACCTGATAACCCGTGCCACGACAGTCCAAGGCCGCCAGTACTCCCACCATACCGCAGAAGGTGCTATATGGAATCTGATGACAGTACGCCGCCGCCAGTACGTATACCACCCCCACGTATACCACCCGCCCCCTACATACGTATACCACCCCCACCATACATGGAATCTGATGACGGCTCCCGTCTCTATGCAAACTACCTCCATGGGGTCGAGCGTACCCATCTTGCTAAACTTGACAACCAGAGAAAGGCTAGGAAATTCCTTGACGTGATGGTACAAGTCGATGGTAGGGAGTTTCCCTGTCACCGGGCTGTGTTGACATCCACGCAGTACTTCGAGACCATGTTGTCGTCCAACTTCTCTGAGAGTAGTTCTGGGGTCATACAGCTGCGTGAGATAGACTCCAACAGCTTCTCCAAGATCCTGGACTTCCTGTATACCGGGGAAATTCGCATCGGTAAAGACGACGTTCAGGACATTCTGCAGACGGCTCACATGCTACTGTTGGACAAAATTGTGGAGCACTGTCGTGAGTTCATCGAGGACAACCTCTGTCCGTCCAACTGTCTGGGCATCATGCGCCTTGCCAACCTGTATGGGTTTTCTGCCTTGAGGAAGAAAGGCAAGGAACATGGCAGCGTCAAACTCCCAATACGTTACACAAGATGAGGAGTTCCTTGGCCTTTCGGCACAAGAGCTGGCAGATCTACTCAGAGGCGAGCATCTTTTTTTGTATTTCTTTTTAAGAACGAAGTCGAAGATGACGTTGTCAGTTCTGTTCTAAAATGGCTCGACCATGCTGAGCACCGTAAGTCCGAAATCCTCATGATTTTACAAGAGATCCATCTGTCTTGTGTGAGAGTCAGCGTGCTACAGAAACTCGAGTCACACCCTTTGATACAAGAGTCCGCAGAATGCCTGGCAAAGATCACAGCAGCTAAGGAGAAACATCTTCTCGGTACACAGGTAAAAGGAGAAGATGCAAGTGTTCCTAGACGCGGGATATCGGACGATCTGGCAATTATTGTCGGTGGTTGGAAGGCAGTCGGTGGAAAGCCAACGCCCGTGCAAAGTATAATTTGCTTTGAACCAGACTGTCAGCAATACTACCACATCACCACCCTCCCAACACCTGCTTCTGAGTACATGAGCGTGGCAAGTGCAGGGAGACACCTGTATGTGACAGGTGGGCGGGTCCATCCCGTGGTCGGCCAGGGTCCCAAATCTTTCTCCAGACAAGCCTTTCGGTACGATTTCCCTTCGGACACTTGGCTGAGGTTGCCCGACATGCCTCGCGGCTGGGCAGAGCATCAGTCAGTGGTCGTTGACGGTAAACTCTTCGTGGTCTACGCGACGTCTTTGATGACCATGGGCATGGATTGCTATGATCCTGAAGAGGGGGCTTGGATGTACATAAACGTGCGACCATCACTGGGCCCTTCATCAAAATGGATGGTAACAGCATCTGGAGACAAGGTTGTCATCATCGTGTCAAAGATCATGGACGTAAAACACGGTTGCTTCTCGTGGTTCGAAGAAGAAGGTGGACTTGAGACTGAGGGAAAGTTGTGTGTTCTTGCGTTTGATGTGAAAACCAAAGGTTGGAGCTACGCCGATATCCAGATGGATGAAGTCAAGTCAAGCCAGTCCTCGGTGGAGGACATGGACATTCGCACTACTACTGTCACTGACAAGCTTTACATCCGTACTGAATATACTAGTACCCAGCATTCCAACCTTTATATCTTCAACGCCGAAGAGAACACCCTAACGAAGGGTGATAGAGAAGATGGGTTGGTCTGGGATAGGGACGTCCTTCGCGTGAAATGTGAGCACAGCTACCGCAACGTTAGAAAGAAGACCACGGGCTTCGCCATCGTGGACACCATTTCCTTATTCGGCCACTGCTTCCTCCAAACCAAGAAGAGCCGTGCAGGGTGGTACTGCCGGGACCTTGAAGCACTGACGAAAGACGAAGAGGCTCAGCGAGTAAAATCAGACGGTGAGTCTATTGAAGGCCTATTGAGACGTGGGCCCTATACGAGACATAAAGAGCCCAAAAGCAGAGTCACAGCACGAAAACACATAGAGCCAACTTTACGAACTCAGGCCGAAGATGAC